ATATGCCTGGAAAACCTGAGTTCTCAGTTTTGTTCTCTTGGAATAAAATTATTTTGCCCCTGAGGTATAAACTGCAATATTCATCGTGGATTTTCCAGCTGCTTTGGGTTCATACTGCAGAGCACCATTACGAAAAGTGTGAACCTGAATGATGCCCTGTGGGCAATGTGCATTGCAAGCCTTTGCAATGTTCTTGTTCCACAGCTCCCCTGCCTGTTGAAGGGATTGGTGAGTGCACTTTGTGTACTCTTAGGCTCATACCTGACTTGACTGCTTTGTGTTGCAGCCCAGGCTCCATGAAAATGTGGTGTGCAAGAGAGGTCGGCTGCTGCTCACCAGGATGGAGTGGGGTCTCCCAGGCAACTGAAGCCAGTTGGGGATGCTGGCTGTGAGTTTAGTGGCACTGAGAAATGGGAGCGCATGCCTTAGCAACAGATTCAGTTGGCCATGATGAGTATGTACCTCTAACAAAGGCCATGCCTTTGAAAAGTCTCCAAAGGCATTTCATCTGCTTGCTAACACTGTCCTGTTCCCCTTGCCCTCAGAGTCAGGCTGCTGGTCTTTACATGGGAGAGAATATACTGAGGGACCAAGCAATTCACTGATGCCTACGTGATCTTGTGTCTTGAGGGTTAGATAAAGCTGAGTATCATCTGCACAGTAGTAGCAAGAACATCCATGGTGTTGGTTCTTCTGTAGCTTACCTGCATGTGCTGATTTAGATTCCCAATAAGCATTATTTTCAACAGCATCAATAGGCCTTATTAGAGACAGGACACAGGTCATAGGTAAATGCAGAAGATAGATTAAATAGCAAGGTGCTCACAGGGCTGGGTGTAAAAATCTTTAATATAGATTTGCTGTTGCTAGTAATATCATGTAGGAAGTAAATAAGGGTGATTTGAAGCATATATAGTATAGACACCATCAGGACTGGTTGCATGATAATATAGATGCTTTAGAAAGAAGGACAGCATGAAAGTCTTTTTTTAAAAGAGATATATATTTTTATCCACTATTTTGCATACCTGTATTGATTCTTTTCTGAAAACTGTGCCATTCTCTCCCATCTCTCTTCCCTATATCTAATTATTCTCATCATCCACCCCTGAACTGCGATTGGGAGACTAGAGCCAGATGCATCATTCTGTCAATTCAGAGAATTGCATTATTATACTTTCAGTATTACTATCCCTCCCACTCCTTTCAAATTCTAGCAATTTGTTTGCTTCTTAACTGCTCTCATAGAAAGATCAGAAATTTGTATTGCGCTGTCCACAACAGTTCCAAGTCCATTTTCTGAATGGTTACAGTTAATTTAGAAGCAAGAAGTGTGGCCGAATGGTTCAAATTGTTCCTTCCGCTGCTCATTAACCTCGTATTTCTCAGCTCTTTAAAAAGCTTAATCCTTTTACCATTAATTAGATTGCATGAACATAAGAATAGAGAAAATGTACATAGTTGTATTATTTTAAGAAAGAAGGCATTGAAAACAATTTAAAATGGATCCCCTACCAAATCAGAATGAAATCCTACTACTTACTATGCGAAAGCCAATTACTTTTGTTCACCAGCCTTTAGAAAGTCTTTGATTACCAAAAAAAAAAAAAAAAAAGTGTGTGTGTGAGAATTTTCAGGTTAATTTCAAGAAACTATTTGTATAGTCCTTCTAATATAATGGAAAAGGTTAATAAAGAATGACACATTCAATATGTAATGCCTAATTATAAATATTCCTAAAGTAATATATGTAATAGGGGTAATATTCCCCGTCTCTGTTTCTCTGAGGTCATCCTGCTTTCAAATTTCTGTTGCTTTTTCCTGATTAACATTCCCAGTTCTGATCCCCCTCACCATTAAAATTCCTGCCCAAGGCAACTTATTCTCTCACCCTAAAATTCACATCAGCATGACCAAAAGGGTACTCCAAAATTCAGCTCTGTCTCCAGGCTCCATAGTCACATTATTCCTAAATTACTATCTTTCCTCTTATTATATAAAACTGAAACTTCACTTTGAAGCCCGACATGGATTTTGTCCCCAGAGAGCACAGTCCTCCCTTTTGCCTTTACTGCTCTGGATACTCTTCCAAATCGCTGAAGCTGCACAGACAAAAGCAAAGCAGAGCCCGACCCCCAGAAGCATTAGCACTGAGCACCTGCAGTTGGAAGGATCACAGTGTGATGCCCAGTTAACAGGTTGCCTTTCCAGGGTGGCCATTTGAAAAGTCATTTGCTTCATCGCAAAGGAAAATTTGATTTAGAAGTTCCTGAGATGCTGCTATTTTGAAAAAATAATTTCACTATGATAAGATGTTGTATAAATAAGTGGTTAGCTGTGTGAACTTTCCATGCTTAATTTTTAACTATTTGATCAATGGACTGAATTCTTTCAGACTACATCAGGTTTGTTTAACTTCCTAGAAATGAAGAGGCAGACACACCAGTAAAGCATGTGAGGAGCGGCTGAGGTCCCTTGGTTTGTTCAGCCCAGAGCAGAGCAGGCTGAGGGGAGGCCTCATGGCGGCCTGCAGCTCCCTCACAAGGGGAGCGGAGGGGCAGGTGCTGAGCTCTGCTCTCTGGGGACAGCGACAGGACCCGAGGGAACGGCATGGAGCTGGGACAGGGGAGGGTCAGGCTGGGGGTTAGGGAAAGGTTCTGCACCCAGAGGGTGGTCGGGCACTGGGACAGGCTCCCCAGGGCAGTGGTCATAGCACCGAGCTGCTGGAGTTCGAGAAACTTTTGGACAACACTCTCAGACACAGGTCCTGTGTGGAGCCAGGAGTTAGACTCCTGTGATCCATCCCTATTTGTCCCTTCTAATTCAGGATATTCTATGACCACAGGATTATGATATCATAGGATAATATCATTATTAGCTCAGTAGACTTTTTTAAAATGTAATCATATATATATATATATCTTATGTATATATATATAAGATATATATAAAGAAAATTCTGTGCTGCCAGGCATAACAAGTGGCTTGTCAACATTTCAGAAGTCTTAGATATTTAAAGAAAAAAAAAAAAGAAGAGCTAGCCTAATTTTTAATGTCAGAATGCTAGGAAACAGTGAATATATATATATATATATATTTAAAAGTCTCTTTGTATTTGTTAATGTAAAAGTCTCTTGATCCATGTGGTATTCTTTACATATCATCTGTCAGATTCTTAGCTGGCAGAAATGCATTTTATAGCAGGTCTGTTGTTTATCACCATAGTAGAAGGAAGGCAATATTTTATTATCATTACCAGTCTTCCGATGTATCTCTTGAAATTATGAGCTAAACACTAGCTGTAAGCCATGAAGGGAAGTCTGAAGCCTTCACAGCTGCTGTTCTGAAGTTGGTGAAACATCTCCTGGAGAGCGTGTGACCAGGCACGTCCCTTCGTGTCATTTACTCACTTTTCAACTACTGTGGGTACAACTCTGTAAATAAGAGTTGATCAGAGGAGTGATTGATGTATCACAAATACTTATACAAAGAGGCTAGCTGCAAACTCTTGTAAGTCCATTTTTAAGTCCATTACAATCAATTAGATAAATTCTGTCAGATGAATTGCCGACTGTCCCTTGGATTTGTTGTTTAGATAGATTAATAGGCATTGCAAGCTCTGTGGGTCAGCATTGCTAAAACACTCCAAGGGGAAAAAAAAAAAACAAAAAAAAAAAAAAAAAACAAAAAAAACACAACTGTGGCAAGTTCTGAAAAGGTGGACCTAGAAACATCAACACGCAACTGGTGTTGTAAGTAAATATGTGGTTGCCATTGCAGCAGCTGCAGAATGACATTAGCCCACTGCCTGGGTGTTGCAGGAGTCCTCTGTGGGGTGCTGGGCTGGTTTCTGGGAATTCACACATTTCCCCCAGAACATTTTCAGAAGTCAGGATAGCCTGCGGTGAGGATTAGCTTTTGAGATTAGCCCTCTGAAGCATGTCACTGAACAAGAGGGCTTTGAAGGCCAAGAAGAAGTCAGTGAAGCTCAATTCTGCAGTGAGAACGCTACTGTGGGCAGTATACTCACTGTCCTGCAGGAAAGGCTCAGATGTCCATATCGTGTGAAGACTGGAGCAATTTGACAATTGAGTGCTTTTGCTTTCAGCGCAAGACACTCAACCCATTATACTCCTGGAAGGATTAGGAGCAAGCCTTCCCTGGGAAACCTCCCAGGCTTTGTTTTCCTAAATCTTTCTGTGCTCACATAAGCATTTCCCCAAGTGAGGATGATAGAGACCGTAAACCTCCCCACAGACCTATTCCTAAAGTAAACAAATAAAGAAGAACAATATTGTCAAACAGGCATCTAGGAATTGGACAGTTGGTACTGGAATTAACTCACAGCCATCTGGCTTTGAAATTGGCTGGCAGCTCAGCTCGAAAAGAAACAAACAATTCTGGGTATTTCCCCCCCACCTTTTATTTTTTATTTGTAGGCATACACAAAAAAATCAATTTATTTTGAATAAACCTGTCTCACACAATATCTGCAAGGAAGTACACAAACAGAGAAGACTAAATTCAGACTAAGATGCCTCCTGTTTCACTTGTGATTTCTTGTAATAGCTATTATTTATGACTTAAACAAACCTGTTCGTAATACATATTAGTGACATTCTCAGGCCTTCACTATCCCCCTTCACCCAGGGAAAATGTATAAAAATCTTTTTGAGACTCTTCTCCTTCAGAGGAGAATGCCTGACTTCTGTGTGAAGCGAGCAGCCATACGGAAGGAATTAGCTAGGCAGTCCTGGACAACATAGCCCTAATCCTGCTCATCCCAAAGTCACTGGAGTCTCTTGATCAGTGTTACTCATTACCCAGACACTGCCAGCATGCGTAGTGCCAGCCTGTGTTCTCCTTAATGCCTCCTGAGAGAAGGAAGCAGCGTGCTATTTCCTTGAACATGTCCGCACCGTGGTGTGAGCGGGTGGTGGTTGGCCTGGGCTGCAGATGCCCAGTCAGGCTGGCTCCCAAGTGGTCTTTCAGCACTGTCTTCTGTCAAATAAGAGCTTTTTAATCTCCTTTTTCTGGGGAAAAGGGGAAATTCCTGAGGAGCGGAGATGGAGAGCTGCTGCTCTCCATATTGGTAACCAAGAGAGTGTGTGGGAATGGCTCAAAGCAGTGCCAGGGGAGGCTCAGGCTGGATACTGGGAAAAATTTCTTCACCTTGAGGGTGGTCAAGCACTGGAACAGTCTTCTTAGGGAGATGGTTGATGCCCCATGCCTGTTCAAGATCCATTTGAACAATTCCCTCAATAATATGTTTTAAATTTTGGTCAGCCCTGTGGTCAGGCAGTTGGATTTGATGATCTTTGTAGGTCTCTTCCAACAGAACTATTCTATTCCTTTCCATCCTATTTTCCTCTGTCTGCTTGGTGTGAGGGATTAATGTTTGATAAATCCTCAAACTTAGAACTTTTTATGCACATTTTCAGGCCAAATACTAACCTTCACCCAATGCTCTACAGACATCAGGCCTTATTCCGACATTAAAGAAGGCAAAATGTTTTTTTTGACTTCACTGGCTGAAGGTTGGGTTCCTTGCTTCAGTTAGAAGTTCTTCAGATGGACTGGGGAAATGATAATGCCTTCAGTGCAGCGTGTGGTAATTTCTCTTTGTTTGTGTGTGGCGTTTTTTCAGTGACACTGCTTATTTTTTTCATTCAACCTGCACATCACTTAGATTGCTTGAAGCCATTAGACTTGATGATTTCTTTGCAAAATGAAGTGGAAAAACAGATTCAGTCAAGGCCAGCATCTGAAGGAACCCATTGTTTGCAGTGGTTCAATTTAATTTGAAACATATCACATCAGTTTCTATTGTTAAGTTTAGTATTTCAGCACTATGGAACCTGATGAGATTAAATTGCATTTTCACTGCAAAATCAGATTTAGCTGTTTGAGTGATGAACTGGTGAGGGATTGTATTTCATTATGCATATTGCAAAGAAAAGAGCATGCCTTGCCACATAACAGTAGTGTACACACAGGTAGGGTTTTTTTGTTTGTTTGTTTGTTTGTTTCAGTCCTTTTAGTTTAATGTATGTTTAGGTGTGAATGGTTTTTGCATCAAAAAATGCCAATATCTCTAAGTTTTAAGCTCCCTAACTTTGGATACTGTTATAGTTGCCAGTGAACTTGAATTTACAAAGTGATTACTATGCTCCTTTAAAGTGTTATGTCGTTCTTCTCATAACCTTGGATTTTCCAACACTCTGTAGCTGAACATTGTTGTTTGTTTAAGTGCAGTGTGATTAGGTGTCCTTGAAAACATAATCTGTGATGGCTTGAGTGTGCAGCAGAATGCCAGGAGCTGAAGTATGCAGGAACATCCTCTACACCGATCAGGTGTATTTACGCACACTACAGCCAGTATATCATGTCGTGCCATGATTTGGGAAAATATTCCTGTGAAAGACAACACAGATACATGCAGTCAAAACACACAAGCCTTACAGAGGTGTGTAAGTTTAAGTCTTAGCATTAACACATCTTTAAGCATGGATATTTTCCTGAATTGTAGCCTTGGATTTATTACCACTGAAGTCCAGCAGTTGAAATACTGTCAGACAGGTGGATTTGGGAGGTGATTAATCCCTTGAATAATTTGAGACTGCCCATTAATTGGGTTTACAAAATCTTTGAAGCATTAGGTTTCTGTAAAACAGTGGAATGCTCAGAGTTTCTAGCAGAGGCATGCTTTCAGTTATGAAGTAGTAACGTATTTGTTTACACACAATTAAAAATCAACATTTTATACATTTGAATGCAGAAGACACTTTTCTATAGGTAAAACTTCTGAGAGGTTGATAAGCTGTTTGCTCTACACAGGAAACCAGAATTTTAATTATTTTACTTTTCATGTAGTTACACAAGCCACAAAATCTATTCAAATATCGCCAACATGCTTCTTCTGTGATATTACTGCCTTTTCATTTCTAAGAAATTAAAGAAGTGCAGTGCAGCCTCTAAGAATTCAGTCTCTGATCTGATAGGTAAAAATTAAGCATGGAAAGCTCTTGCTGCGTACAATTGACGATTGATCAAACTAGCAATTCCTTTTTCTGTTCCTGCTTGAAATTTGTGGGAGGATTTCTTTTTTTTCTTTTTTTTTTTTTTCTTCCCTAATGTTTTAAGTGCCAAAAACATGTTTAAAGATTGAAGCTGAGGATTAGAAAGTTTCCTCGGAGAATGAAATCAGTTGCTACAGATCTAGGGTCATTTGCCTTAGACTATTAGCAAGTTTGTAAAATACAGTGCTGTTAAGCAGACTGAGAAAACATACAGCTGTAAAGCCTGTTTGAGAGCACCATGAAGTCTAACAACTATGTACACCCTCAAGCCAGCTAGTTTTCTTTGACTGATTCCTCCTTTCTTTCCCGTAGCTGCAGCTCTGAGTCTCTTTGCTCCCATAACTCACACCTTGCACAGGTCTTTATGTCCATTGCAACGTACCACGGGCAGAAGGAGAAATTAATGGACCACTTTGGTTTAACCACATCAGCATCATTTTGCATGGCTCGTGTCACCACAGAAACAGAAAAGTACTAGCAGAACAAGATGCTTGTTGTAACCTGCTTTCTGCACAGTCCAGTCCTATGCTAAAGTATCTGCTTGATCAACCCCTAAGTCCTGTACCTGCAGCTGCCATTCCCATCATCACCAGAGCTTACAGGCAGTTGTGTTCCATATCATTGCCACCCAAAATGGACAATGGCAATATGCCCCTCTCTCAAATATCTTAGCCAGGATGTTGTGTGAAATAATAATTTGTCACTGTATTTCCTAGGAGGTACTATGTACTGTTTTATTTCAGGAAACCAAGGGCTTCTCAAGCCTTGTTTTTTCACAGCAGGAACAGCTTTACTGGCTGCCTCTGATTCCAGAGATAAAACAATTTATATCTCCGGTGGTTTCTATGTTTGTCACACTATTTGCACACAGCTCTCCTTCACTTTGTGCACTATGGCTCTTAGTTAGCCAAGCAGTCAGGAGAGGACTTTTACACAGGATTTCTGGAAGAAAAAAAAAAAAAGAAAAAAAAGAAAAAAAAAAACAGATATGGTTATTATTAAGCAATTACAGGCCTGGATGTCTCAGCCAATTATCATGATCACAACCCTGTTCTGCCTATTGTATGCAACCACCCTACCTCAAGCTGTGATCTTGTCAGAGCCCAAAAACAAAACAGAGCAGGGCTGGTGAGGCAGCAAGATGAATTTCTCTCTGGAAATAAGGCAGACAAATAAAATGAATTGGTAATTTGCAAGGTAGCATCTCATATGCTCATCACTGCCAGCTTACAGAATTTTATCCTGATTCTTGTGGTAATGGCATTTGTCTTGACTCCTGATTTTGCAGGCTAATAAGGAAAAAATAACTTGTAATTTATTTGAGATTGATAAAGGAGATTTGAAAGATACCCCAGCTCTAGGCATAGTATGCAACCCCTTTATACATTACTATTTAAAATACTGTCACATTCTTGATGTCTGACTCATGAGTTTTGAACACCTGGGTAAAAAAAGAAGCACTTTGCTCTTCTGGTGAGACATCGGCCACTGTGCTCACGTCACTGTGCTGCTTGCATTTCTGACTTTCTTAGACTCCTCACCTGTACCAGGTGTGAAACACTGTAACCATCAGAAGGACCTTGGGTAACAACCTCTCCTGTGCTGAGGAAGTCAAAGGCTGTATTTTTCTACAACATCAAGCCAGAATAAGCCTTTGCTACCATAGAAAAGCTATCCCTGCCTCTGTTTCCCGTGCATGCTGCATCTTATTCCCACACTGTTACTTCCCCTGCGCTAATTCAACCTCAGGTGAGCTCTACATCAAAAAACTTATGATGTGAAGGGGACTAACCTCATCCCTTCCCTCCCAATTTAAAATAAAAATATTAGCCAGATACTCGGGTTTTAACATAGTTTAATGGCCCCAGAAAACTTATGGACTTTGCAAACCACTCTCACAATCTTCTTAAACAAGTAAGAAGAATAACCTCTTATCTTTACAGCAAAGATGATGTGAATTGCAATTAAAAAAATGTCAGCAGTAACTGGATATTCCTCTGAACACCCTGGAGTGACCCCATCATCTAACTGGGTCTGACATGTGGGATCAGAGACCGGAAAGCAGGCTGCTCTGCATAAATGTGTGTGCCCCAGCCCCAGCTGGGAGGCAGCGTGAGCCTGGTTTGCCCACGCCGGACCTGATGGGCCTGCTGAGAAGTGCTTTGTTCCCAGGCAAAGTGCTGGAAGCATTCTATCAATTTTGTTGAATTGATTTTTAAAGGTCTTCAAGCCATAATTTCTTTCTCTGTGCTGCAAGGCAATTCATTCTGCGGTTAATTGTGGACATAGCTGAATAGTTTACATTAGGGCTATAGTAATAGTAGGGCAGAGATTTGTTAAAGGATAATGTAGCTACTAGAAATTGAAGGTGCCTCATTGTAAACACTGGAGGCGTAAAAGTCCCCAGGCAAAAGATTTGATGAACCAGACAAATCCTTTGTCACATAACAGTCTGCAGCATTCTTTCATGTAGCAGAAAAAGATACTTTGGAAGTCTGAATAAAGATAAGATAAGAAGTCCTCAGCCACTGGTTTGGCTTTTCCATACCAGATTAAAAGGCTGCAATGCTAGAATGAGTTTTGTGTTTGGCATATGGCAGAATCTCCCCTTGCCAAATGTAAACACATCAGGCTCTCTGTGAAGCTTTAGCATGAAAGGAAAGCCCAGCCTGGGTTGGAGGTGAGGGATTTTTGCATACAGTAAGAAAAGCTTTCCAGGAAAGGTTATATTCTTCCCCTCCCCTTATGCAATCTGAATTGCCTTAGATGTTCTCCAACCCTTGGTCAGTCAAACCCTATAAAGAAAAGAAAGATGTCAAGCACAGACTTGACTTAAATAGCTGCAATGATTTAAGAAGTTACTAACCCATAATAGTCTCTTACAGCCTGTCTTCTGGGGATACTTGCTTCCCAAGCTCTTGTGGTGAACAGATGGGATCACACAAGCATTCTCTTTGGAGCAGCTAAGGAGGTGAGCCGAGTTAATTTGGCTGATACTGCCTGAATTAGATGACAAACAATTCACCTTTCATTTAACCAGAGCTGGAAAACCCATAAGCTCCAGCTGGCACATCCGCACAAGTCTGCAGCTCCAGCTAGCTCTGCAGGGCAGGGCAGCTCCAGGCCTTAAAATGCAGTCCACACGCTCACCCCAGGCCATTAGCAAGCAGAGCTAAACCCTGATCTTGTTAATCAGAGATCATTATCTTGGTTCAAACACTGCACAAAGAAAGGTCATCACTTAACTGATGACATTTTTGTCCTTTGGGTCCATCCTTTGAGTTCTCCATTTTCCTGCATAAAATTACTTCTCATATATATAATTGGGTTTGAACCTCTATCTGAATGACAGAGTATATTGCCTTCCACTTAGACCATCAGTCATATTAAAATTAACTCATCTGAAAAACATTGACACTTACATGAAAAATGTGTTTTTAATAAACTGTCAATGCTGACTGCAGCTTGGTTTTAACTCAGACTCTATAATGAATTAAAGCATTTAGCTAATGAGAGCATATCCAAGACAGCTACCAGAACAGTAAATATGGTGCAGAATTACTTAAACCATTCGAAGCCACACTTTGTTACAAATCATTATTCTGCTTGGATTTTATACCAGCTTGCACCTGCGTGCCCTGACCTGTACTTATTACCTCTCCATACCTACAGCCTACCTGCCTGAGTACATACTTTTTATGCATAATGAAAAAGTTACCTTTAAGTAGCCTCGTGAAAAATAAGGACTTCAAAATTCTGAAGAAAAAGAATAAAACACGTTTCTTTAATCTGAAATGATAGTGAGCCTAGCTTTCCTTTTCCTCCTGTTCATACTGATGAAAGAAACTTCAGCTGGGACTCAGGGCGTTTTACTAGACAAGCGAAAGCATTTCTGTTTGCAGCTGTGCTAAGCAAAACAGTGCCATCTAGTAGCCTGCAAGGAAGGGATTGCTGATGGTGCCTAAATGTGGGCTGGTTTCCCACAAGGTCAGTCTATTTTTGTTGTTATCATTTGTTTTTGTGCAGGACTTCTCTTCAACTGTTGCTTTATCAGCAGTAATGAGGTTGATTCAGATGAACTTTTCAAAGGAAACACAGATGAAAAGCTATTTGCAGTTTTAAATAGGTGATGAAGGTTATCATCAAGCATTATCATGGACCTGCCAGCCTGGTAAGACAAAGCAGAGTTGATTCTATAAGTTTGTATAAAATACCATTTTTTCTTCTTGAACTTATTGGTTAAACTGTATTCTTTTAGTTATCAGAGACCAGTTCCACACAAGTAAGTGTTTTATCCCAATGTACATGTACAAATGAAGGCTCCTCTGCTTAGAAAAAAACTTAAGACTAAGGCTGTTCTCTTCCTGTGCCATGTAACTGCGTTTCAGTTTCATTTGCTTACTCTACCTTGTAGATTTTGCTCCTCTATCTCGTAGATTTATTTAAGGCAGTGTTAAATTTGATGAATATTTTAATGGACATTTCCACCATATGTTTTATAGAGTACTACGTGATCAAAACTGGTAACTCTAAAAGCTCAAAGTAGAGGTATCTGTGAAAGAGAGCAAAAGCTGGAATCACTCATGTTGACGGATCCTGAGTGCAGATAATATTTTTTAATTTTACAAGGTGCAATACATCATAACAAGACCTTAACTGTAATTTTTGGTGAGGAAGGGTTCCTGTGGTTAGGTGACAACACTTCATTTTTCTTCAGTTAAATATTTACTTGGTAGGAAATAAATGGGTCTTGCATAGCAAAAAGAACATATGTAGACCAGAATTAAGTTATGCAGATTAAACCAAAACCTACAATGCACAAACTGATTCCTGCTATCCTTTGATCTGATTTAAATTCAGAGAGTCTGCTGTGACCATTACATTCAGCAACAAAGGAATTAGGACACAAATGTTTAAACATTTATTATCATTTGCATCACTATGGTGCCCAGGAGCACTACAGAGCCCAAACAACCCCAACAAGCAGAGCACCTTAAAGTCGGAGATCCATCAGGAGCAAGGGTTGAGGGTCACAACCCAAAGTTGCTTCCCTGAAAACTTTAGCAAGTATACAGGGAAAGCTGGTGTTATGGGGAAATCAAAGCTATGTGTGAACTCCTGACATTGAATGAGAGATGCAGGTGGAATAGGCAGAGTCTGAGAGGAATTTAAGAGATATGGTGTGTAGCTGGAGAGCAACAAAAGGAGAGTCCATGGAGAAACAGAGAGGAAACAACGCTGCCAGAGTCACAAGCCTGGAAGGTGCTCTTTGAAGCAGAGTTTTAGTAGATACAATTCATCAATAAGACAAGTAAAAATCAGACAAAAACATGTCAGAGCAGTCAAATACTGAGATCATAAGAATGTGGCCAAATACTTAGTTGCAGAGTAGTAAGAAAGACCATAATTTTGAAATATTACAAAAGGCTTATTAATTAGAAAGAAATATTACTTAGAAAAGCAGTTGGCATTACAGACTTCTAGCCAAAGGTGCCAGCTGTGCTATAGGCTTGAGTGGCAGGCAAGATGAAGGCACAGTTTCCACAGTAATGACCAAAGGTGGAGGAGATATAATCATAGTCAAGACCACAGTATGACATGAAAGGCAAATGAAAGGGCTGACAAAGAGGGAGAGGACTGAGAGATGATGTGAAGTCATTAAGGCTCATGGATTTAAAATCATTGAGAGGTTGAGCACAAGCTGATGAGTCCAAGCCTGACAGCACTGAGAAGGCACGGAGATGGAGGAGAATGCAGTAATGGGGTCAGAGAAGAGCAGAGCTTCCTGAAAATGCCATCTCTGTGGCCCTCAGTGGCAGCTGGGAAAATTGTAATCAAAACTGTGGGCTGGATGAGGAGCTGAGGGTAAAATAATGAGGATCAGAGGAGTAAAATGAGAGGTAAAAATAAATAAATAAATGAAAAATAACAAGCTGTAATCAGTGAGAGTGAGATTTTTGGAGGTGGTGCAAAACAATACTGAGACTGTGTTAAGCTCCTGAAGTTCAGCAAGTGGTATAGATGGATTCTTAATTAGAACTTTAATGAACTGTCTGGCAATCTATGGTATTCTTTCTAATGGACTGGAAGGGACAATGGGAAGTACTCACTGCAGGCAGGCAGGCAGAGCACTTAGCTGCAGCAAGCGGGAGGCCCTGCAAGCATGGTGTCATGCAATTGAGGCCTCTCTAACACTTCTGCTTAGGTAAGGATGCTACAGCAGAAAGAATAAGAATTCTAAAAGAAGCTTCTACTTAAACTACAGAGACTGAAACACTCTCCACATGTACGAGAAGCTTCTCTCCAAAGGCCTTGGATACAGGAGCAGATAGACTTGCAGCCCTGTACCATGTACAAGGCTGGTGGGTGCACAGCTGCCATTGACTTCAAGGGGGCTTTCTTGGCCAAAGACCTCTGGGGGCTGTGGAAATGCAGTCACAAAATAATATATATATATATATATATATATATATATATATATATATATATAAATATATATATATATATTTTCTGCATGTCTCCAGAAGGAGAGAGTTTCTTTAAAATTAAGTGGAAAGGGTTAAAAAAAAAAAAAACTACAGAAACAAGATCTACCTTAGTCTCTGTAAAAAAACATGATAACTATGTCTCTCCTATGCATGACAGGGATAATAATAATAGTAATAATAAAGTTTAGGTAGATGAATCACATGAATATATCTCTCCATCTACGTATAATATATGAATCTTGAGATTACGCAGCTTACAAGGGACCAACTCATCAGTCAGTGCAATTATATTAACATCTATCAAGCAACATGTAATTATATAAACAGTGTGTATTTAGTGTTTTGTTGCTCATTTTGAGGTGGGGAATCTATTCTTCATAGCAAAGACTCCCATTTCATTCAGGAAAGCAAGTAAAGAATGGCACTGGAATGGTTTCTTAGTGCAAACTGCCTATGTGTATTCTCCATTCATAAAACACTTCTGCAGCACCAACTCTTTAACTCAGTGGTGTGTGCTCTGTAATCCATTATATTGTGCAATCTCAAAGTATATTTGTTTTGCTAGCGACTGTAGTTCACGTAATTATTCTAAGCCATAACAACACAGATATGTTACATTTGTAATTTTGTTTTGCATTTAGGCAGAAATTCATTTATTTTACTGTGGGGTGTCTTACACTGAGGGAAAAACTATTTTCCTGGTATGTTTCTTAGCAGATATTGGAAGTGTTTCTCACAAAGATTTAGTAGCAACTAAACATTAAAAAATATATATCTTGGTGCTGAGAAGAGATGAGTTTCAAAATGCAGGAGGCATGGAAGATCTAAGTCTTAGCTGCAAACTGTAAGGCAGATGCCCACTGTCCTAGCACCTAGATCTACTATGGCCACCTGCAGGCTTTAAACCAGGGCAAACCTGATCAACATCACTATTCTGCACACCCTGGTTCTCTCTGAAAGGAAAGAGAGCAGCCAGGCAGGGTCTTCCAATGCATCCCTGGAGTTTTAGTAGAAGCTTCTTTTAAAATTTTAATTATTTCTGAGGTAGCATCTTTACTTGAGCAGAAATACGTGACAGGGTGTCTGGCCCACAGCAGAGACTTGTTCAGCAAGAGTTTGCATTGGCCAATAACCTGTCAGCGTAACTTCAAGTTACAGACCTATGGCCTTATGTCTAATTAGGTAATTCTTGTTTTTCTGCTCTGTAAAACCAAGTGGTCTGCTGGTCTTTCTATTTCTGCTATATTCTTTATTGCTTACTTTTCTTGCTTCCTATTTCTGGTCGTGATCTTATAGGATTTATTGCATTCAAAGAGAAAACTTTATAGACCATAGACATGATACTATAGAAAATGTGTTAAAAATTTCATCAGTAGTGTTCTCATCCATATTCTGTAGTGAACTAGTGCCCTGGCATGGGCTTGCCTCCTGGAAACCTTGCCTGTTCAACTACAGATTAAGTTAAAGGTTTACTACTTGCAAGAACAGAACTGCACAAACATTCCTTGATTTAGTCTGAACAAATGTGTATGTCTTTGATTTCAGATACGCAGACTTAGAGGTGGAGAGTGATCTTGTGGTGAGAAATGGGGTGAA